AATACAAGATAACCCTAACCCTAGGGACAAATCCTCTTTAAAACATAATCAAGTAAAACCCAAAACAGCCCCTCTCTTTAAATTTTTCCTCTTAATCCTACATTAATCCTTTCTTGAATTGGCCTGTTGGGCCCCACCCCAAAGGGGTTGACTATGCTGGGCAGAACATGTTCTGCCTGCTATAATCCTGGACCAGTCCAGGGACCGGTCTAACATTAATATCTTTTGAAAGGGTTACCAAAAATGTGACATAAGGAGAAAATTTACTAGGAAATGAAAATAGACCAAGAAAAAAATGCAAAGACCAGCATGGAGATGCAAGCTCGGAGCCCAAATCAAGGCATCACTGAAAGAAGGTTTGCCCAAATGATAAAGATAGTTAACAAAACTGTTTCTTTGGAGCATATAAACTCAAACTTCCAAAAGTTCATCGAAGGAAAATTATATATGATGCTTTATTATCCAAAATCATCTAAAAGGAATTAATAGAATATTCACTAACCAAATAAACCAAGCCCTAGAAGAAATGATGAACTAAAAGTACATGACCAACATACCCTTTGAGAGTTACAAAATATCTACCATGTGTAATTTCATTATATGCACTAGCCCAGATAACAATAAAGATGTTCAAGGTCCTCGTCAATATTGAAAACCTTGATGGATATCATACCTGAGAAGCCTCAACAGAATTCGGTAGATTCTCCAGGTAAAGCTCCCATTGCTGTCCATTCCAGTCCGCCGCCTCATCCTCACTTGGCATCTTTCCCAGCTTAAATTCCTGGGCAAGGGACAATAGTTTTGTGTAGATTGCTGACTCTGGCTCCATAGCATCGGGAGGGATGCCAGTACCATCAATCCAAATCTGAAGGTTAATCTGGTTTTCTATTCCAGGCAAAGTTGCTTTTAGAAAGTCTAGAAATGTCTCCGTATCAATAGACTGAAACTTAAAGGTGGCAATATACTTCTTCAGGAACTCATCAAAAGCCGGACGGCCAATCTGCAAGTTCCATTCAATAAGGAATTAATACGTGAAAGAAAAAAAAAAACAACATAAGGTTTTGCAAGCTATGTAAATAAAAGAAGAAAGTTAAAGGCCCTCGATCAAACTTGCACCTGACGTTCAATGCGCCAGAGGAATTGGAACCCTTTTTCATATGGCACCTGAGAATAAACATCATCAGGGTCCACACCTTCCTGTTTCGTCTTCAACTTAGTAAACTCCACGTTGTCCTTGAACCTCTCTATTTCATCATTTAATCCCTTCCACCCAATTCCAATATTCAGATCCGCTCGATCTTTGCCCTGCACATCCTCGATAATTCTCCTCTCAGCATAAGTTGTAAAACCCTGAAATTTCAAAGAATGAGGATTAAGAAGAATTTATTGAAATTAAAAAAATCTTGAAAAATTTGCCAGAAATTTTAGAAGCTACAACACGCATCAGTAGGCAATCTTTCCTACCAAAATAAGCCAAGAAATTCTAGTTTCGAAAGGGATAGAACTGTACATCTTCATCAGAACAAAATATCGATTGTGGTCCAATTTAATAGCTTAGAATGCAAATAGTACCCTAAAAAAGGAAATGACGAAGGTACATTCTGAAACAATCATATGGACTTACATGAGTAAATGAATGCAATAATTGATGGTGGAAACAAGGAGTCATCTAAATAGAAGTATCTATACTTCGGTTAAATTCTAAAAAAACTCCGGTAACAAATGAAACTTTCAAAAGGCGCATCATTAAAAAAGGTATTTGATAAAGTCTGTTACCCTCAAATGACATGCAAGCTTAAGTTTAATATTTAAAAAATAATCACAAGATGTAACACAAACAGAATGACATACCTTTGATGTTAAATTCTATCATGATTCAAATTTAACACGATAAAACAAATAGTTGGTGGAAAAAAAATAATGCTAGAAAACAATCATTAGATGTGTAATGATTTAGCATTAAATATGAGTTCTGCTAATTCAAGACATATACTGATAGAAAGTGGATACAATTTCCTCAAAATCAGTGAACAAAAACAAGAAATTAGGAAGAAGAATACACTAAAATTATTTTTATTGCAATATATAGGAAAGAAAATAGCAAGATACAATTAGATATTCAATTGGAGAGGAAGATCTAGCTCTCCCAAATCCCTAGCCGGCGGCTAGAACCCTCACAACCTAAAAAATTCTAATTTCAGCGAACTAAAAATATAATCTTGAAATCACCCTATTTTTAGCCTTAAATAAGCTCCCCTAATTCCCTTTCAAATTAGCCCCCTTTTCCCTAAATAATTCCCTCTCATATTTGAATTCAAATCAAATCTCTTGCCTTAAATAATTCCCTGCCAATTATATTTAAAACTTTCCTAAACAATTCCCCCTTAATTCCTCCTCCCCTTCCCTAAATAATTTCATGTTAGATTTTGAATTAAAGTTAGATCTTTTGCCCTAAATAATTCCCTCCCAATTGTAATTAAAACTTTCCTAAATAATTCCCCTTTGATTAAGAACCTTCCTAAATAGCACCCTTTTGATTAGAAAACTTTCTACCCTCCCAATCAAATCGGCAGTCCATCAATACTCTCCTCCTAAAGTGTCACCTTATTCAAAAGGTGGAACGAAGGAAACTATTGTTGAAGTACTTGACTAATTGTATTGGAC